GAGTCAGGAGAAGCTTGTGACTGCTCTGCCATCCAGGTGGTGGCTCTAGAGCCGGCAGGAGCACAGGGAACCAGCTTGCTCTCTGCAAGCCTCTGTCTGCTGACCTGTCAGCCGGGTCAGGATGGACCCCGCAGGGTGGACGGGGCTGGATGCCACGTGTCTCTCCCTGGCCACAGCTTGTCCCCAGCCTTCCTTCCCCCCTGCATCCAGCAGGGCAGTACCCGTAGAGACCTGCTGTGTCCCCCACAGATGCTTGGGTCCTCCAGGGAGTCCTCCCACTTGCTGAGTACGTGATCCACACCAGCTTCGCCCCCATGACAGAGCCACCTTCATCCCCTGTGACAGACCAGACCCTGAGGCTCACACTAAGTGCCCTGTACAAGGTCACCCACAGTGAGCGGTGGAGCTGCCTGTCAAGCCCCTGCTACCTGACTGCAGCTGAGTCTCAGCTTCTCACCACCCTGCCACCCCCACAGTGGAGTCCCCATCCCTCCCAGCCCCCCTTCTGGAAGGTAGCGATATGTAGCAGTGCGGCAGCAGAGGCCGGCTCTGGTGTGTCCCTCTGGCAACATTAAATCCCACTCAAAGGGCTGGTTTTAATTGGCTTAATATACTCGTTAATAACCGCGTCTATTTAACGCACCTGTAAAAGGCCCATAACATTAACTTAATGGCAGCAACGATGTACCCGGCACTTCCAGCCAGCCTTTTAAATTTCCCGACAAGCTCTTAATGGGGCCGTGATGGGCGGGACCGAGCAGGCAGAGGTGGCCTAGTTCACAGAGGGGGCACCTTGGCTTCTCCACACCCCAGTCCTGCTTCTGTGTGGCAGCTGCAGCCTCCAGAAGGCCCACAACAGGTCTTTCTCTGACCACAGAACCAGCGTTCACGTGACCTTTTCTAGGCGCCTCTAGATGTCAGGGTATCGAGGAGAGGTCTACCACAGAGGCCTCCGAATCCAGCCCAGTTCCTGTGCCAGCATATCACATTATCCCCAGGCCAGCCAGGGTCCAGCAGCATTTATAATGCTTAGTGATACATAGGGCACAGTGGGGACAGTGCACCTCTCCTCCCTGGTGTCCCGAGGGGTGGGGTGACTGGGATCTTCAGAACTTGCTCGCTCACCCAGATGTGTGTGCACAGGTGGCTCCTCTGCATTGGCTGGCCTCCAGGAGGGGTGTCCACAGCCTTCCAGGCAGAGCCACACTGCCTGCTAAACCTCACAAACCACCGTGAAAGCTGTCACTTTCCTGCACCCTGTTCTGTGGATAGGAGTTACTAAGCCAGTTGAATGACTTAAGCGGAAAGAAAAAAAAAAAAAAAAAAAGAAAGGAAGAAAGACTGAGCTATGCTGTGTATAGGAGCCGAGTCAGAGAATTTGCAGGCATCTTTTAAAACTCTGTTCCTGGGGCTTGCTGCTGCCACCTCCTGTGTCACGGTGGCAGCTCCCCAGGGTTTCAACCACTGCCACATCTCGAAGGTCCAGGATGGCTGCAGAAAGGTGGCTGATGGGGGCCTCGCTTCCAGCACCCCAACTCTTGGGCTGGACTGGTCCAGCTGACCACAGCCTCGCCACTCATTCCGTACAGCATCAGCAGATCAACCCCTGGTCTGTGGAGGAAAAGCAGTGCACAAGCCAGCTACAGGAGCCCAAGTGCGGTGGGCAAGGAAGACAAGCCAGCAGCAGCCAGTTTGGGGGGATGGTATGGTAACGCAGCCCAGGACCTGCCAGGGACCCCTGTGGGGACCACAGGCCAGCTGAGGGAATGAAGGCAGGACCCTGGGTTTCCCTCTCTCCACTGCTAAGGAGCCCACCCCACAGCTGGCTCTCCAGCCCCTCCGTGGGGCCTTCTGTGCCCTCACATTCATCAGTGTGGCTATGTGATGGCCCTGAACTTCATTCTTGGCTGGTCCCTTGCACTGGAGGGTCTGAGACATCCACCAGGGTGGCATCAGGGTGGCCTGGGTCCCTGTGTCGCCTCCACTCTACTCTGGTCGGATAGGCTGTATTGAGGCAGCCGGGGTAGCCCAGGAGAGAATCCAAGGAACAAGGTGGTGATCCCAAGGGCCATCAGGGCAGGTTCGAGACCGGGGACTCTGGTGGCATGGAGGCCCATGCCCACTTGAAGGTGTCCAGGTGCCAAACACCGAGGAGCACAGCGAGCCCTGGGCAAGCCCAGTTCTAGGTGAGACTCAGCTTAGAGCCAGGTAGGGGCCAGTGCAGCCATGACAGCCACATGTGATCATCCCTGGCCACCTCAAGGCCCTAGGCTGACTATGGTCCCTCCTGAGGACAGGCTGCATACTTCTGCAGAAAAAGAATGAGCCTCCGGCATCCCCGGCTCCCCGGAGGTCCTGTGTGTGGGGTGACAAGGACGTCAGAGCCCAGCCCAGCCCCTTGCTGGCTGTGTGCTCCTGGTGAGCTCTGGTCCTTTTCTTGATCTGCAAAACAGGGTCCTAAGGACGGCATCTGTATTGCAGGTGACTCCAGAATGCGCAGCCTGCAAGAGCAGTGATCATTTAGTCCCTGCTGGTCTGAATGGCTCAGGAGACTGCGCACAGCACAGCTTAGCTGGGCGGTTCAGGTCCGGGTCTCAGGAGGTATGGTCGGGGCTGGAGGCTTTATTTGCAGTGAGGCTCTCGCAGCAGCTGGCTGCAACTTCTGCCCTCTTCAGTGGGCCTCCTGCTCCACCGCAGGCTGCGCCACTGTTCCCACACGGCAGCAGCTTCCCCTCTGAGCAAGGGATCCAAGAGAGCCACAAGGAGGCCACCACATTTGTAAGACTGGGTCCCAGAAGCTCCCAGAGGCTTACTGGCTGCACAGCTCAGCCAGGATTGCTGTGGGTCTTGGGGATGGCACACGGGCGGGAATGCAGGGTGGCAGGTGGCAGAGACTGGCTGCTAAATGCCACAGCCTGTTCTCATCGGAAACTTGGGGACCATCCCCCAATTACTCCCTCAGTAAAAGCCACTGAGAAAAGCCTTGGGCGGAGAGCCTGGCACTCCCTAAGTACTCCACAAATGGCACCATGTTCTGGGGCCACTATCAACCCCCACAGAAGCTGGAGGCATCACACCATCCTTCGGGAGCCCCACCGACCAGATGGGGGTAAGGCGCCCCATCCTTCAATCAATGGGGACGGAACGGGCATTGCTGTGCCCCCCAGCCCCCACTCTTAAGGTTTTAAACACCTAATTTATTCCATCCATTAGATAGATTTTGTAGATTTAATCATTTTCACAGTTGGTGGCTCATTGGATACTCAAGATAAACTCCAAATGAAAGTATAATGGTGAGGACAAATGAGTTTTCACACCACAATGGCAGAAACTTGCTTGGGAAGAGAGTTTAAGAGGAACGAAAATACATACAGATATAATTTTTTTCCCCGGCAGCTGCTTTTGCTGACTCTAGTAGGTTACCACAGCTAATTTCACCAGTTTTGTTCATCTGTAAAATTGCATAAAAGTGACATTTTTGTGCTCATTATAGCAACTGCTGATTTATGGCTGGCAAATGAAGAGCTGGTCCCTTTTTTTGCGGGACTCTCCGAGCGGCGCTAAGTGCCCATGAAATTGCTTGTATAATGTAGTTTAAATCCAATCTCGGAGAAAGATTCCCCCGTTGGCCAAAGTGACATTTCCATTCTCCACACCGAGTTTATTTTAGACCACTTAGGAGGGGGCTGCCCTGGGCAGGGTCAGGATGGAGGCCCACGGTGGCCTCACCTGCCCATCCCACGCGAGGCTGGCGGGACATGAGATGCCACCGTCACCACCTTCCCGCCCTGCTGAACACCCTGCAGCGCTGCCCATGCCCTTGAGCAGAGCTTCTCCACCCTTCTCCTGACATGCAGGGCTGGGTGGTTCATGTGGGGGCCGAGCCGCTTACTGTGAGATGCCGCTAGCCCTGCTCCCCCGCCAGCCCAGCTGGGACCAGCACACACATCTCCAGACATCACCAACATGAGTGACACAGTGAGAGCCCCTGGCCAGCCATGAAGGGCCCACCCAGCCACTTGGGTCCGTCTCCTGTCAGCCAAAGTGATTCCCAGGAGTGATTCTCCTGGCCTCTGGACCCCTGCCCAGCTGTTGCTGCTGCCTGAAATCTGCTTCTCCTGGCCCTTTTCCCCCATGGCCTCAGGACTTGGCCAGGAGGCCCTGTACCCAGGAGAGCATTAACACGATGTGACAGCACTGACGTCCACAGCCACTCCCTGCCACCCGAGGGCCAGCAGCTCACCCAGAGTCTGTCCATTCGCCCCAGGAGTGCTCTTGCCCCGGGCCCTTGGCCCCAGGGAAAGTGCGGGCTGCACCAGGAAATGTCTCAGGACAAGGGAGGGGCTCCAAGGGGCACCACTGCCTCTGCACTGGGCAGAGATGTAGGAATTAACCGCATGCGTCACAGAGCCCCGCAGACATAGGATTCTGTGGCGTGATGGCTGCCAGGCTGTGCACAGTGCAGGACTCCAGTGGGCCACACAGCCAGGTACAGCCAGCCCCTGTTGCTGGAAGTCGGGACAGTGGTGAACTGAGACATGGCTGGGGACTTGGAGGGGACACAGGGACCCTCTGAGGGACTGGCTGTGCCCTGCCTCTCAACATAGACAGATCCTTTAGTGAAAATTCACCAGGCTTATGTATGTAACTTCTGTATTTTACACTGTGATCCAAACCTTAAAAATCTGGAAAGGTTTGGGCATGATGGTGCACACCTGCAATCCCAGCACTCTGGGAGGCTGAGGCAGGAAAATCACAAGTTCTAGCCCAGCCTGGACAACTTAATGACTTAGGTAGACCCTATCTCAAAATAAATAAAAATAGAGCTGGGAAAAATAGCTCAGTGCAAAGACCCTGTGTTCAAGCAAACCTGGAAGGAACAGAGAAGAAGAGAATGAGAGGGATGGGAGCTGGGCAGCTCTGTGTGCTTGCAAAGGCAACAGGCTCAGGGCCCTGCCAAGTTGTGGGGTCAGTGCTCATCAGCGTCTCTGTCCCTGCAGGTGAGACCACAGCCAGCTCCATGCACTCCTCCCGCTACCCGAGCCCAGCTGAGCTGGATGCCTACGCTGAGAAGGTGGCCAACAGCCCGCTGTCCATCAAGATCTTTCCCACCAACATCCGTGTGCCCCAGCACAAGCACCTCAGCCGCACTGTCAACGGCTATGACACCAGTGGCCAGCGCTACAGCCCCTACCCGCAGCACGCTGCTGGCTACCAGGGGCTGCTGGCCATTGTCAAGGCTGCTGTCTCTTCCAGCGCAGCAGCCCCCACCGGGCCTGCCAAAAGCGTGCTCAAGAGCGCCGAGGGCAAGCGGACCAAGCTGTCACCAGCCACCGTGCAGGTGGGCATCGCACCCTACCCAGCGCCCAGCACCCTGGGGCCCTTGGCCTACCCCAAGCCACCCGAGGCACCTGCCCCGCCTCCCAGCCTGCCTGCAGCCGCCACTGCCGCCTCTGTCATCCCTCTGCCAGGCCGAGGCCTGCCCCTGCCGCCCTCTAACCTGCCTTCCATCCACAGCATCCTCTACCAGCTCAACCAGCAGTGTCAGGCCCCAGGCACTGCACCCGCCACCTGCCAGGCGGTGGCTGTTCCCCACCCCAGCCCAGCCAAGCATGGCCCGGTGCCCAGCTTCCCTAGCGTGGCCTACTCAGCAACAGCTGGCCTGCCCGACTGCCGGAAAGGCGCAGAGCTGGGTCCTGGGGGCACTCCTGCCCTGACAATAGCTGGGGCCACCAAGCCTGCAGGGTACGTGGAAGGTGGCCTGGATTACCTGCTATGGCCGCAGAAGCCACCCCCGCCGCCGCCCCAGCCCCTGCGTGCTTATAGCAGCGGCACAGCAGCCAGCAAGTCCCCAGAGGCCTGTGGCAGCCGGGCCTATGAGCGGGCTAGCGGGTCACCCCTCAACTGCAGCGTGGGGCTGCCAGCCAGCTTCACTGTGGGCCAGTACTTTGCTGCCCCCTGGAACAGCGTGCTGGTGACCCCCACCAGCGACTGCTACAACCCTGCTGCGGCAGCAGTGGCTGTGACTGAGCTGGGGCCCGGAGCCACCCGGGAGTTGGCGGGGCCTCCTGCAGACGCCCTGTCAGGCCTGCCCAGCAAGAGTGTGTGCAACACCTCCGTGCTGAGCAGCAGCCTGCAGTCGCTGGAGTACCTCATCAATGACATCCGTCCACCCTGCATCAAGGAGCAGATGCTGGGCAAGGGCTATGAAACGGTGGCAGTGCCCCGGCTGCTCGACCACCAGCACGCCCACATCCGCCTGCCCGTCTACAGATAGGTTTGCCAGGTGGATGCTCAGACGGATGGACAGTGCGCCAGGTGGGGGCGCAGGCCGAGAGCAGGGTGGGTGGCTCGCTCCCTGGATGTTCAGCCTCACCCTGTGCCCACGGGATGCCCTGGTAAGCCGGGCTTGGGGCAGGTGGAGGGGGGTAGGGTGACCTCCCCTGCTGAAGCCCCTCCCTGATCGCTGGCCCAGGACTTGAGGAGAGCCTGAGGGGGGCTGGAGTCCTCTACGCCTCCATTCAGGCTGCCAAGGGCGGAGAGAGAGAAACCACTTACATAGAGGGATGGTTCTTTCTGGATCTCTACCACAGGGCTCAGGCTGGGGCAGGGCTGTCATGCGTTGCATCCACCCACTGCCACAAGCCCCCCAAAAAGGAACAGATGGGGCCTATGAGAAGTCACTGGGCCCAAAATAGTCCCACACCAGCCAACCCAGGTGAAGATCACTCTGACCTTAGAATCCTAGAGGCCCTGGGACTCCTGGTCCCCGTTCCTCCCCCCTCAGATTCTGTCCCAACCCACTCCTTCCTCACACAGAATCACTTTCCCTACTCTACACCCTGCGCCAGCATCATCTCCTCTCTCTCCAGTACCTCTTGTAGGGCTGCGGGGTGCGGCTCTGCAGCTGCGCACTGCAAAGGCGCCTCACCCGAGGGGACCCCACTTGGCATTCTAGACTTGTATATTTATCACAGCTTTCTTCATCTAGAGGAAGGGGCACCATTTTCCTATTCGCACAAAGGCACCGTTGGGGCCTAACAATGGGCCTGCAGACTCCAGACCCCGCTCAGAGGGCCTCCACGTTGTCTTCAGTAAGAAGAGAAGGTGGGGCCGGCCCATTGGTTTTGGAATCATCAAACTCCTGTAGTCCACCCTCCAAGGCCCAGGGGGAGAGAGGCAGGGGTTCCCCCGAGGCCTGAAGCCCCCCGTGTCCAGTCCCCTCCCCGGCACTCCAGAAGCGGTACTGTATCTCTCTCCAAGGCCTGTTCAAGCACTAAGTGCATTTACAAATCTCTGAGAATGTTTTTTTTTATACTAAAATTGACCATTATATTCTACTGTGAGAAGTGCAGCCTGCACTATATTGTTTTAAAAACGAAGAGAAAGAAAAAAAAAGAGGAAAACACAGATGGTGTCTCAGCTGTTGGCTTGCTCTGTAGCTCTTTCCATCCCGCGCACTGCCTCCCTTAGGGCCATGCAGGCGGCCTCCCCTCCCCCGCGCTGGCCGCTGGCCTGGCTGCCTCAGGGAAACGCCCCAGGACCCTCAGGGCACCTGCTGCGCCTGGGTGCCTGGCCTCTGCCTTGCCTTGCTTGGCGTCACACCGGGGCTCTCGATCTCTGGCATGGGCCGAGATCATTGTGCAGACTGGGGGGTCAGGGCGAGCTAAGCACTGGCTCGTGGCCTCTGTGGCAGTCTGGGGACACCCCTCCACCCGCTCCATCCCAGGGCTGTTTCTGGTTTGGGGGACAGGCTGTCTCCTAGCTGCGGATACCCAGCCCACACCCACCTTGCCCTAACCTGGAGATTTGCAACAGGCATCACCTGTCCTAGGAAGCGCAGCATTCCTTGAGCACTCCATCTCTGAGCCCCAGACACCTTTGTAAGACTGGAGTTGTTAAGAGAGCAAGACTCTCAGGCTCAGAGACATGAGGGGAGCTGCCCAAGGCTGCGCAGCAGGTCCATGAAAAGCCAGGCTTCCTCGCCGCTTATCCCTGTCCTTGCTTCCTCCTGCCCTTCGAGCCTGGCCTGCTGACCCAACACCTGGTCCGGGGCAGCCACAGCCCTAGCCCAAGGCAGGCCTTCTGCCTGTGTCCTGAACACTGCCTGCCCAGTGGAAGGGAGGGCATCCACGGAAAGCAGGGTGTCCCTGAATCTGGCAGCGCACACAGCCCCACATCTGCGTCTGTGAGCCGAGTGTAGCGCACAGCCCACTGGGCACAGGAGCCCAGGTCCTGCTGGGGGCCAGGCTGGGAAAGTCAGGGCTAGGCCACAGCCACCAGGAGCAATCTTCCTGGCTCCTAATGAGCATAAACAGCTGTTCCTAAGTGCCTCTCTGGTCTCACTTGGCCCCCGTTTCACAAAAACCCTATCAGGTGAGTGATGAGATCATGCCCATTTACAGAGGGTCCCCACAGGGTCGGTGAGGGAGCCAGGAGTCCACGCCCCATGTCACCGAAGCCCACCTGGGCATCCAGAGCAAGTAGACCAGGCTCCCATGAGTGCCCTGAGCCGACCTTTCCCCAAGAAGGCCATGCCGCAGAGACAGAGCCAAGGGCCCTGATGCCCACAGGGCCTTGGGCAGGGCAGGCAGTGCGCAGGGAGGAGGCCATGCCTAGAGCTGGGCAGTAGCTTGTGGCCCAACTTTTCTGGGGGCCACCACAAAGCCACCTAAGCACCAACCTGTCCCCTTCTCCCCCCACCCCCCGTCACCTAGGTGCCCATTTGTGATCTTGGCAGAGGACCCACTCCCCTCCTGGAAAGACCCGATGGTCCTTGCACTGGGCTGGGGTGGAGGTCTGCCCTGGCTGGATCCCATCTCCCTGGGCCTCAGTTTCCCCAGTGGGACACCTGAGTGGTGGTTGGTCACGAAGGGCCCTCTACTATAGCCATTCTAGTGGGAATGCATGCGCAGTCCCACAGCGGGACAGGAAAAACCCCAAAGTTGTAATCATCGGTAGCCTGTGGTCTTGCAACCAGAAGGCAGCCTGGCCGCCAGATGCCACCGCCTCCCACCACGCAGGCGCATGCTTATTAGAGATGAGGCCTACTGGTGGGTAGTCGCCACCCAAAGCCACGCAGCCGGGGATGCAGAATGGAGAAGTAGCCAGGAGGGAGCACAGCCATCCCATCCACGGCCGGAGCTGGGAGCCACTGTGCCAAGCAGAGAACACCCAACCTTGCCATCCTGGCAGCGGCACTTTGGCTCCCGAAGGCAAGGGGGACTTTCTGCGGGAAAGGAGACCCAGACGAGGCCAACCCACCAGGGAGCATCCTGTCTGTTCAAGCCTCTTACTGAGCTCAGGCAGGATCCCGCATGTGCGCGCACACGGAACCCTCCTAGGCATACAGCCCCATTTCCCCACATGTGGGACCACACATTCCCCCAGGAAGTTGACACCAGTTGACCACTTTGAACTTCTGGGCTTGATCACTTCCAACCAGCCCTCCCAGGCGCTCCAAGCCGCAGCCTCAGCACCAAGCCGATCCACAAGCTCTGATCCTGTACCACTGCCCCACGCGCCTGTGCCGTACTGAGCCTGCATAACACACGGGTAGTGCTCTTAAAGCCCCCTCCCCATCCCTGTGCACACCTATGATCCCCACTCTGGGAGCCCAAGGCAGGAGGATTGCGAGTCGCAACTTAGCCTGGGCAACTTAGTGACTTACCAAGACCTTGTCTCCAGAAAATACAAAAGGTCTTAAGGATGTGGCTCGCTGGGAAGGCTCTGGGTCCAATCCGCAGTTCTGAAAAAATAAAAAGATGTATTTTCAACCAATGCATTTATCCTAATATAAGATCATTTTAAGTTAAGGAACACCCTTACTGGGCATGGAGGTTCACACCAGTAAACCCAGCACTCGGGAGGCTAAGGCAAGAGGATCGATGTGAGTCTGAGGCCAGCCTAGACCATCTATCAGGCAGGTTGAACTTAGGGGATGGGAATTCGGCCCCAAGGGGCAGCACAGAGAGATCTTACAGATGGCGCACACAGCTAAGTTGGGAGCACTCTTCCGATGTCACCTTGTCCAGCTGATTCCAAAAGTAGGTTTGCCAAAGAACTGAGAAACAGAGCTGGGGATGTAGCTCAGAAGTACAGCACTTGCTTGGCATGTGGGAAGCCCTGGATTCCAGCTCTGATGGCGCAAAATAATGGTTCAGTTAAAAGAATTTGAGAAAGGGTTGTATAGACCCACTCTTGGCAATGCACAAATCACTTCACTATATTATATGCAGAGTCCTGCATATAACCATTTCTCTCCTTTAACCTTTAATATTTAATGTATCTATTAGCATCTCAAGAAAAAAGTAGGGGCCAGGGAGATGAATCAGTAGAATAAGTGCTTGCCTGGCAAGTGCAAGGGCCTGAGTTCAATCCCCCGATCAAAAAAGAAAAAAGTAGGACGTCAGAAAATACTCCTGAATTGCAAGTGGGGAAATGGAGTGCCTGCCTTCTCCCCTGAGTCTCGGTTTCCCCAGCTGCCACATAAGGAGTGGGGCTGATAGCCAAACAGAGGCTAGGACCCAGTCCTGACCTGGGCCTCTTATCTGGGACAACCTCATCCTAAAAGGTCTCTGTCTACCATGTTGAAGTAGGCAGAGAGGAAGGGTCAGAGCCTCCACAGGAGGGAGGAAGCTGCATTTGAGGTGTGGCCTGAGGACCCCACTTGGAAAAGAAAAGAAAATTGAGGTTCAGAGAGGGAAGGCAACTTGCCCCTGGGCACGCAGCTGCTTGGACCCTAAATCCTCTGGAGGTGTCTGAGCTCCTTCTCCCCTCGGGGACAGGAGTCCTTCCTGAGTCTCGGAGACTCGGGGCCTGCTTGTCCAGAGCTCACAGGCAGGCTTTTCTCAACCAGGTGCCGGGGTTCATTTCCCTCAGGTCTCGCTGCAGAGGCTGCCCCAGGTGTGACCACAGCGGCCCCTGGTGGCCAGTCTCTACGCTGTCCGCAGCCCCGCCCAGCATCGGCCAGAAGCAGACCGCCGCCGGGATTCAAGCGGTGCATCTGAAACAAGAGGGGCCAGAGAGCAAGGAGTCCTCCCTGGAATGGCTGAGGACCTGGGGGTGCTGAGAAGGTCATGCCATCCTCACCCAGATCCCTGGTTCTTGCCTGTCAGGAACTACAGCAACCAGCTGTTGGGGAAAAAATGGAAAACTGCCACTTTTGAAAAGGCTCAACACACACACACACACACACACACACACACACACACTCCCACCACCACCTAGAAAGTTCATCCTACGACAGAAGGTTCAGATTCTGGCTCCACCCAGATCCAGCTGCATGAATGTTTCCTTGTCTTACTTTCTTCAACTCTAAAACAGGAACAATTACATAAATGCACTTGCATCTATATGATTTTGGTTTGGTAGAAGAAAATCCTGACTTAACTGGCTTAAATGAAAAAATGTACTGCCTCAAATAATCATGAAGGCGGATGCCCCAGGGTTGGCTAATTCAGCAGCTCAGTGGCGGCACCAAGGACCCATGTTCTTTTCATCCTTCTGATCAGGCAGAGTGCTTCTTGGTCACAGAAGGGCTGCTGCCACTCCACACATCATGCTACCAGACCTGACAGTCCCCAGCAAAAAAAAAAAAAAAAAAGACTAGTCCATTCCTGTTATGTGTACTTATCTTTCTTTCCCAGAATTCCCCCTTCCCCATCAGACTCGTCTTCTTAGCTTATGGAGCAGCACAGGCTCATATGGCCATTCCTGTACCCGTAGCTAGTAAGAGAAATAGAATCACAGTGATTGGCTTAGAGAAGCCCCAAGCTGTGCAGAGTGGAAAACTGAGCAAAACCGGATGCTGTGTGTCAGCAATAGGAGGCAGCAGCTCCCATCCAGAACTTCCCACCTGTGGTTCCCAAGACCTCAGCTCCCACAGACCCTACCGCACAGCAGGAGCCTCACTGGGGTTCTTGTGCATCGTCCTGCGGGAGGCTCCTCCATGCTCACAGCCCTCCCAGCCTGAGGACATGCTCAAGGCTCTGGGGTCTGGGTCTCCACTGCCACCCACCTCCCCGACCCTGTCCTCTGGCTGTGTCCTCACCCTGCCTTTGCTCTTGTCTCAAAAGCTTGAGCTGAACAAACTCCTCCCATCACCCCCAGTGACTGTGGATTCCTCAAATACAAAAGGTACGAGGTGCTTGGTTCTCATGCAGATGCTTTTGCCAGGGAGCTGAAAATTAATAACAGTACGAACAGAGTCCTGGAGTACTGAATTGGCCCATCCAAACACCGGAAACCATCCAAACGCACCGTTATCTGGGCCAGCTGCGGAGACTGACTGCCGACTACATTATCGCCTTTGGAAATGTCACAAGCATGCATTCGGAAGAGACGAACAATGTGGCTGAATATGGCTTTTGATTAAATAAAATCCCCAGCATTCATCTAAAACAATAATAACAGCTAATAATAACAGGGCATGTAATAATGAACTATTCATAGGCATAAGAGGTAATTGTTCAATTAAGATCCGAGAGGTTTGGAGACTGTCTTTTCTGATGGGATCCCTTTGTTTTTGCTTCCAGTAGCACTAATTATTTCCCAGTAGTGCTTTAAACTTGGGAGGAGAAAAAGCCGTCCTGTCAAATATGACATACAAGTGCTTTATCATTATTAAATACACATACATGCACATAATAGGAAAGCCCTGCTGGAGTGAAAGTGGTGGTATGTTCAAAGAAGGAGGCCACCAAAAGAGAGCTGGTGGGCTAAGGGACTCGGTAAAAGTGGCAGGTGACAGCCAGGGTTTCTACCATAGGACACAGTCCTGTACCTCTCATTTATCCCCCATCTTGCATGGCCAAGTAACTGGGTTCAAATCCTACTCCTTTACCAGTCAGATGCTCTGGGAGCCTCTCTGAGCCTTGATTTTTCTCAGGTGTAATACAGAAATCGAGCCAGCTGTAGTGGCACGTGCCTCTAATCCCAGCACTCTGAGAGGGAGACTGAGGCAGAAGGTTCACAAGTTCAAGCTCAGCCTGGGCAATTTAATAACTGGGTGAGACCAGGTCTCAAAATATAAAATGAAAGAGACTGGGGATGTACCACAAAAATAAATCACACACGCGCGCGCGCACACACACACACACACACACACACACTACAGTGAACATTCCTGGTTTAGGGGGGCTGTTGTGTTCTATTTACTCTTTTTTCTATTATCTATATCATTACCGATTGCTCCCTGCACCACGCACACACGCACGCACGCACGCACATACGTCAGTGGTATGGTACCCAAAACCATTCTTGTCTCACCCAGAAGCCAGGGTCTCCTCCTGGCTCTCATCCTAGGGGGCAGTGCTGGCCCTGTATGTCTGCTCGCTTCCCATTGGCCAACACAAGTTACATGGTCAGACCCAGAAAATTAGGATTTGCTGGCTGTGAAAGGACAGTGGTTTCACAGCAAAGGGCCTGGGTGAAAAGAGGAGTGAAAATCGGAGTGTTGATATAGTTTGCCTTGATATCAACACTCACCTTTCTTCAGGGAAGTCGTCCTTCTCCCTCTGGGTTCTGGGAAACTCTAGTCTCGTCCCTGATGCCGGACTCCGGCCTGACCAATCAGGGACCAACCTGCTCCCCTGGCCACAGTGATTGGTCCAGCAATAGACACGTGACCCCAGTTGGTCCAATAAGAGGCAGTCCTGAGATTTTTTTTTCACTGGGATGATTAGGGAATACATAACTCTTCTCTGAGATTGCTGGGTTGGTAAGAAGTCCTTATGCCTGTTAAAGAAGTAAGCTGCCCCGAGGGAAGGCAGACCTGAGAGGCACACAAGAGTCTAATCCTTGATGGCCTCCTTCATGCCCTTTGATCCAGCCACGCTTGAAGACAGAATTGCCTGCTCTTTTGCACTGATGTGAACTAATTTATCACTCGCAAAACAAACAAACAAACAAACAGCCTGTAAGCAATACCTGGGGGAAATGGGGTGATGTATTTAAAAATACCAACTTTATAGGATCACAGCGAGGCTTAAGGTGATATATGTAGAAGCACTAAGATCAAACTGGAGACACCTGATGGGTTCACTTAAAGCTCAGGGATTAAAAAAAAAAAATCATTGTTTAGAAATATTCCTAATACTGGGCCAGGGAGATAGCTCAGTGGAACAAATTCTTGCCTGGCAAGCGCAAGGACCTGAGTTTGATCCCTGATACCACCAAAAAAAAAAAGAAAGAAAGAAAAAGAAGAAAGAAATATTCCTACTACTTCTAGTACTCATTCAGCCAAGCAGTTGGGAAGGGAAAGATAATAAGTGATGGGGGAAAGGGTACTTGTCACCATCAGAATCAGCACTTGGAGCTCATATCTGTACTCCCCAGATAGCAGTGTGACCCCAAGCAGACCACGTCACCTCTGAGCCTTGTTCAAAAAGAATGAAACTTATTCCCCACCTGCCAGGACTCCCTAGAAAGCTGAATGAAATCAGGGCAAGAGGCCTGGCTGGGGCTTGGGAGTGGTGGGCGCTGCTTGACTTACACCCCGAGAAGCCCATGGGGAGTGCAACTATCCTAAGCAGAGACCAACTCTGCACCCCTAACCTACGGGGCACCACAGCTCAGCAGCACGGAGCTCTTACGTTCGCTGTTTCCCGTGCCTTCTGCCACCTGCTCCTGGCCCAGAAAAAGACCCAAGTGTGGTTCCTGCTCAGTGTGGATCAGTTTTTGCATCACTGTAAGTCAGGAAACTCGAAGTGGAACCATCTTACATCAG